AWTGTACATCTTGCTGCAGTGCACAGGATGAAAATTCTKTCGGGTACTTTGAAGATGGACATTATAATGGACATTTTTGTTTTGAGTTGGYTTTGATTGTGACCAATMACTTTTTTCATAGCCTTTTTACTGACCAAACAGAATTGTGTTTAGACCAACAGAYAATAGACAAGAATGAACAAATATGTCTATTGGAGTAACCATTGTGGTTATATAAAGTACTAGACTCGTATTGTGAATATGTGTWATCTTTGTATGTAAGATTTTTTAAAGCAATGTGTATATATAWAAAAACTACGTACAATGATTTCTGATCCATACTTGTTCTGGATGTAGTATAATATGCTAAGAGTTTAATAACTACTTATTTAGGATGATTTAATAAATGAAAGAATACTTTTAATTAAAACATACATAAAAGCATTTGGAAATGTGTTGTTGCATTGRTTTTGTAGCAATATTTCATATTTCTGTCAAAAAGGTGAATAAGAAAGAGACAAACAGGATTCCCAGTAGGAAGAAAAGGAAATGGCTGTTAAATCGGAAGTAGCCCGAGTTTCTGCAGCCATATTTACATAAAAAAAACAGAGATTAAGCAAAAAGCAGCAGTTGAAGCTGGCTACTATAATTTGAAAACCCTGGACGAATTTGGGATTTTTCCAAGTGAGATTCCTAAACGATATGAACCATATCAAGGAATAGTACTCCATAAAACAAACAGTTGCTTAGCTGAAAACTCAATAAAACGTTATAAAACATAATTATCTTCTAGTAACTCTGTTTATTCACAAAATAACTTAATTATTCTATTTACAAAATCATATATTTATAGTTTATTGGCGCTTCTTCTTTCCACTTTCACTTCTGTACTCATGCCTGGAAAAAGTCAAATTGTCATCAATCATTASACTTAGAAATTATCTATGGGACAGGAAGCCCAACAAAGGARTAGGYGRCRAAAAAKACTACTAATAACAWGRGCCTTGTGATSGWGRTGATGTAATTTACCTTGACTGCCATCGAGGCCCTTGGTTCCACACTCTTCCAAATGATGGCAACCTTATATAGTATTAAAAGAAAAAATAAACTCAATGGTATTTCACTCATGAATGCTTTTAAGCATAAAAAATATATTAAAAAATAAAAAAATATATTTAAAAAATATATTTTAGTCATTACCAGTCATCATTAGTTTCCTTTTCTCTGTCAAAGTTTGCTCCAACTCTGTTAGGATTTTGTGCAGCCTTTTTCACYCTTTTTACTGTGGAAAAGATAGTAATGTTATTTGAAAAAATAATTTCTCAAAACATTTTTGAAACTTGTCAGCGAAACCATGGTCATGCTCTCTCATGCTTGAAATGTCTGAAAAGATAATAAAACAACATCATTGTACCATGTTTCTTGAAATCATCTATTGAGGGGCCAATTTCTTTCTTTGTGACTGTCTGTAAATGGAATAAAAAAATATTGCTTAAAACAAATATTTTATTCAACACCGACTATAAATTTGTGGTTTGACTACTTAAGCAGCATGCACATTTTTTACCCTTGAATATAGATGTTATATCATGGAGATATTTAGATAGAGAGTCCATTATTTACTGCACAGATCACACAAATTGACAACACAAAAAATAGAAGACATTGAATTGCAAAAATGCAGCACAGTCATAGTACTAAAGTACTGTAGTGTTTGGTCATTCAAAGCAAATCAAACATGACTTACCATATCATTACYCTCATCTGCATCATCTCTGAGCCATGGTGGTGTAGCACCTTATTGAAAGGAAGAACAAATTGACTTGCTTGTTACATTGAATACTTTAGACTTTTTGCATATTAAAAAAGAGAACGAAAACTTGAGTTATTTTAAAGCTTAAGTACCTGTGTGTACATTGCCTTCTCCAGGCTTTAGTTCAGGTGGTTTGATACAAGTCAATTCTTCACTGTATGCAGTATCTGTCTGAAAACCACTTGAYAGGTGGCTGCCCATAGAGACTGTTGATCAAATACATGATTTTAGGGATCATCTTGATACAAGTGAAAATAACATAATAGGCCATATCAAAGAGTATAATTAACTCTTTAATGCAGCAGATGTTAGAAACCAAGCAGATTATGAAAATACATTTACTACACATGAAATAAATTTTCACTCTCCAATTAATACATTTACCAACTTGAAGTTTGAGAAAAATCCTTTGAAAATTCAAGAGTGGAATATGCAGAAAAAAAAATAATGATAACAAGAATACTGGACGTGCAAAACTAATAATCTTCAATTTGTTTTACCCACCACTACTTGATCCTGGAAGTCCATCATCTAAATCCATTTTCCAGGGAAACCATTGATCAGAATCTTGTCTGCAGAGAAACATATCAATAATATATAATTATCTTAACATGCTTTTAGCATTTTTATTTATCTTTATCATCAAGATTCTCGTGTCAATACTCTGTAGATGTTTCCTCTGGGAACAAGCAGTGAATTACAGAAGATCATCCACTACTATTTAAATTATGACAAACAAAAATATAAAAATTATCATAAAAATGTCTCACCTATACTTGAAGATTCCACCTCCCCAWACTCTGCAACCCTCATGCCTGTTATATAAATACCACATAAAATTGACACTAATAGATCCAATTTTTTATTTGATTATCACGATAAAAAACATTGGTGTTGGGATCCCTGTGTAGTAAGAGCACAGGGATCCCAGACTTTATAATAATTGTACYAATAAAAAAATAGTACTGTGTAAATTGGCCTGAGCAGATAGAGTGCCTTTGACAATATCATTTACATACATTATCATGAGTTTCCATTACTTTGAACAATATCAGAAGAAATCTATCAATCATCAAAACACTACTTTTGCACATTTTTCGACACTAAGGTGACTGAGGCAGTGCTCAAGATAGAAGTGTACACATATATTATCATTGGTATCAATTTTGGATATTTTTTGCTAATACAAACCATCCAGTAGGATTCTGCAGGATTCCATATTCATTCTTTACAGTTTTATAAACAATATGCTGGGATTGTATCTCTGGTGGCTGTTTGCCATATTCAGGAAAAAAACATTTCCAAACAAAGTTAAAAACATTGTTAATACACAAGAGAATGGCAGATGGTATGTTATTTTGTAATTTTTGAATGGGAAAATAACTCATGCATAAGGTCATGGGTCTTGTAGGAGCCATTTACATAATGTAATGGTTTCTTGCTGTTAGGAATATTACTGGATTTCGTATCATTTGTAGTAGTGTATGGCCCCTATATACTCATATTATATTTCCTTACTGGAAATATTATTAAAACAATCAATAATAGCTGTTTTCCACTATTATGACTTTAATACATCTTGAAATACATGTATGGAATGTTTTATGAAAAAAAAAATTATCCACATAATATTGATACTGTAATTATTAAATATTAAATTATTAAAATCAATAATATTAGTATAATTATTTAGCAGATAATCTAATAATTATACAAATAATAATAATATATTTGTTTTGGATACAGTTATGGACCCTGACAGACCTGTAAGCTTGCAAGGTTTTGTTTCACCTCCATTTCTTTTATTCTTTCCCTCTCCTTCAAAAATAAAAACAAAAGGTTTAAAAAAGGTGTAAACATCAAGTCAGTCTCAAATAGAGCTATAAAGTCATCAGAAGACTCACAAGATTTACAAGAATAGAGCATGTACATAATCTACATTTTAAACCTCTGCACATCTTGAATAGTACAAAATTAAATTTTACTAAATCAAGCTGATATCTTTGTGTCCTATTGTCTAATCAAGGCAGTTAATGCTATTTGTTTTACAGATTAACCCATTTTCGACCCTAAAAAGATGATGGAATATCTGACATCCATATAAGGTGTTGTCAATCAAACTATTGCAGATTTGAATTTCCTAGTTGCGTTATGCAACGCCTTGTAAATTGAGGTCAGATCATTTGTTTGTCGAGTCGTTGAGCCTAAATTTACTTAAAAAATGTTTATAAGTGTTTTTTTTTAGCTTTTTGCTGCCACAGGAGCCCCGAGGCAGCACAGAAAAAATTGAAAACTCTCCATACTTACCCTTTGATGTTTGTTTTCCATAATGGCTTCATGTTCTTTTAGCRCTTTGTCAACACCATCCTTAAAACTATGAATATTTACAATTTTCAATTTAAAAAATATTTCTCATAATTACTTGTGCCTCACTGTCGATAAGTACTGGTATGTTAATTTAATAAGGAAAAAGAATAACAGTATTATGCTACTGTTTTAACACACCTTGCATACTGATCCTTGTCAATCAAAAATTTATTTTTCTTGTCTTTTTCTGCACCATGCTCCCTCCAAAATCTATGCAAGTTCTTGTGATGCTCTTGACTACAAAACATTCAGATAAGGAAAGCTTGAAAGCTATTATTTATAACATGTTAGATGATGTTAGGTGATTAACACTGTGATATACAAAGAAAAATGCAGAATCTGGTTATAATGACATAGTATCCTAWTTTTAATAATACAAGGGAGAACTTCATTTAAATCAGCGCTTGTGCATATGATTTAGTCWAAGCCATTTTCATTTCTCAACTTTACACTAAAATTTTAGCAAGTAATGATTCTAGATAGTTGTTCCAAAGCTTGCATATTTTTGAAAGTATTAACACAACTCGGAAATCATCTATTGTGACATTGCTCTAACTTGATTAAGGAAGTCAATGAGTGACAAATCAYGTGTCTCAATTTCATGGATGTATGTATTTTTGGGTCTGTTGGTTCACATTATAATATGAGCATAAACAGAGGCAGATTCAGTTGGTTCACACTTGACRTAAGCATGATTATCTGCTTATGCTGTCCCKGTTCACACAAGAGATTAAAAAATGGAAAAATTCTCATATTTTTCTTATGTTTTGGGTTTAGCTTCTAGTCTTTCGATACAACCAAAAATCCCTTTGCTCTGTTTATGTTGCCGTGAGGTGAGCTTTAGGACTGATACCTTGCAAAATGTTCAAAGACACCACCATAATAGATGGATATTTCACTATCAGAGACATGTTTGCTTTTGTTTTCCTGGCAGAAATGACACCAAAACGTAGCTCCTGGTTCTAGCTCTCCATCTTCAACACATGGCTTTCTCAGATACTTTTTGACTTCATCTRCCTGGATCAAAACGCATTCATTGAAGTTATAATCACAAGCATATATTAAGCTTAAATTTTTAGGGCAAGCCCAAATTTCATTTCAAAATCATCTTAAAATCAGTCCGTTTAATATAYACTCAGAAGAATTGAAATACTAACTTTTTTACCAAACTTCAGCAGGATATTATCTAATTTGGTTTTATGCTTTTTAGAATAAATATGCTTTCTTCCTTGGTTGTGATTTTTCCGACAGAGAGCGCAAAATGCATATTGCATCTCCTCGTCCGCCATTTTGAAAAATTTCTGACCGAAATGCATTTTGGGTAATATTTCTGTTGTTTTGGCGGGAAAGTCGAAAGTAAGATGGCGGACGCAAGGATAAAGGTGAGCATAGAAATGTCATATTTTGTTACATTCTAACTGAAGAGAAACGGTTAAAAATTGTTCACACGCTTCTTCAAGAAGACATTACAATTTGAAGTTAGTGGGGTTAGGTTGGCTTGTGCCATAACAACCCTGGATTAAAATTGGATGATGAGCAAGTGATACTGAGTAAGAAAGCTTTATTGGCTTAGATGGCCATTCCATTTATTTCCTAGAAAGAGGAGGGGTGCCCAGGTCCACGAGATATCCATGAACTATCAATGGGATTATATATATAATTTTAATAGTAATAGTAATAATAATAAATTATATATAGTTTTAATTGTAAGTCCATATACATGTAGTCTCCTTCGCAGCCTCCCCTTTTGTCGGGCTTCCTGGAGGGACCCTAACCCTAACCCTAACCCGAATTTTTCTAAGAGCATGTGCATTTGTTCTCTAATGCATTAGTTGGGCGGCCTATGATCCCACTATCTAGATAACTCTTATTACCATAGTCCGTGCTTGGGGAGGGGGGGGGAGGGGGGGGTAATCCCTTATAAAAGTTGGTAAGTATGCTTGATGGACAGATTTAAAAAATGACCCAAGTATGCATAAATTAATTCAGGTATCAATTCCAGACCCTAAAAGGTACGACCATTTTTGACATTTTTAACAAGAGAAAAGCTTAAGTTTAACAAACTTTAGAAAATCAATGTCRATGGTTGTTGAGGTTAATAAAATCTATTTTTTTATAACATTTCTTTCCATTTTTGTTTTGGGTGTTCGAAAATTGATCCTAAAAGGTGTGGAGTCAGCTCAGGACCCTAAAAGGTACACATGGGTTTTATTTTCAACTCTAAAAGGTCYGTCGAGCATAACTACCAAAGTTTATAAGGGAGCCTCCCCACGGGGTTTGTGGTTAAAGACATTTGCCATGACAAAGAATAACATTTTTAAACTATCTAAGAGCACATCTGAATTTTGTGTTTGCGCCTTGGGCGAAAACGTTATTACTGTCCGTTATATTGTTCCAGATGGATGAGACCCAGGCTATCAAAAACCAACACTTTTCAAARCAAATAATGATATGACATCTAGCAGCCAGAGGCTGAATTATGTGTCAATTACAAGAATTGCTGCAAAGCATCTAGGGTAATACTAGACCTTTATTTAAATCTCAAGAATGCTTTTACTATCCTCAYGAATTCTGCATTTTTACATCGCTCATGTRACATTCTTTATTAAAGYCCGTATACACGGCGTTTTTTCGCGGTGATGTTTGCTGGAAAAAATAATTTTCAAAAAATAATAGATTTTGTCTTATCACTTCTAACAGGCGTTAGTTAGCTCATCATACTGTCTGTACTGACTAAAAGTTTACAAGTTAATTCTTTAKCATTATTGAAAGTTTCAAAACAACCACAAAAATCGCCGCAAAAATCGCCAAGTGTCAAACGTACCTTTACTCAGTTTTACCTCATTTTTTAGTAAACCACAGGTATCCCGACCAATTGGACCGCGAACATGAAAACAGGATGTAAACACTCAACCATCCGACCGAACGAGAGCGGTGATTGGTTGGGTGGAGATGCTGGATTTAGTTGAAGTACATTTTAGGTAATTTGACATTAACCAGAGTGTCGTGGACAGCGCGCGATGATAATAGCTTTCATCAACTTGAAGTATCTAATCACAAAGGGCACGACATTATTAATGTTTTCAGATCAACTCTTTTATTTGGTTTTARTTAAAAGAGCTGATATTACAAGGATTATTCTCAATTGTATTTCCATAATGGAATTTTCACTTYGTCTATACGATACAGTTTCTACACGTTAATCTCACGGACGAGAGGCTTGCTTTGTCTCGACACTTGGACGGTGGAGAGCGACTTGAATTGACTTCGAAGGTGAGCCACCACAAAGACAAGCACGCGTTAAATGGAAGAAAATCCAACTTGCATCGTGTGCAAAGCAGCTGTACTACCAAGTGATCAGACTACAACTTTACATAACGACGTGTGCGTCCATCGTAAATGCTTTGTATGTTCATGCTGTGGGTCAAATCTCGACAATACGAATTACAAATTGATGGAGAATCAGTCCCTTTCCTGCCTGCAGCATCATGAATCTGATTCAACAACAGGAGAAACAGATTTTATTTCTACTCTAAGAAAATTCAAATCTTGTTGTCTACGTGTGAATGACATTAATGTCGAAGTTAACGACCTKCGAGATGGGGATTATAACGACGGAAACTGCAATTTCTGTAGTTTTCATCCTGTAATTACGCCAAAATCTGGCTATTGGATTGAGTGTACAAGCAAGAATTGCCCAAAGTTACGAGGTGTTTTGAAAATGACTGATAAATTGGTGAACAGTTTTTTGGATCTTGGCTCGATCGGGAAAAAAATCACTAAAGTCCTTCCAGAAGAGATCTATGAGAATTATTTCTACGGTTCAAAACATTGGAACTATTATTCCCGCGAAGAAAAAATAGGGCCTGTTATATTATCTATAAAACAGGAATTCCGACATTCTCTTGATTTTCTAAGGTGGGTTTTTAATTAACTACAGCACACTTGGTGGAAACATGTTTGTCGTAATTGAAACATACAAGCAACTACACGATCGATCATTCGAATGGCACACGTCGATGTCCCAGTCRTTAATACGCTCTAATTAATTTTAAAATTATTCAAAAAATGTCACCAGATTGGGTTAGAATTAATTTTGTTTATTCGTGGAYATTACATCGATATGTTGGTAAATTCGCAATGAGGAAATAAACCCCCTTCACAAGCAGACATGTTTACATTAGMAATGCTATTTGTTTTATGGACGCAAATGTGTCTGGATAACGTGTTAAATTTTGTCTCTTTCCTCGTTCTTGTTAATTTGAAATCGGTTAACTATTTTGATAAGGAGAGTTTCAAATGTATCGCTTGAAAATGTTATTTTTTGGGTGGGAAAAGCACGTGCTTTTCAAGATTCATGCCCTTTCATATTATCTGACCACGCGCTAGCAAAATTAATTTTCATGACAAAAGATATTTTCAGTCGGATCGTTGGCTAGCACGCTGAGTTTATRTCTTTCACGCTGTAATATTTATCTGAGATAAATTGATTTTAAAATGAAACTAATAAACTTCGATGAACTTGCGGTTTGGGCTAAGAGTCTCGAGCTCGATATTTATGGAAAAAGAAAGTATTATAATGCAAAGTGAAGTGCTGATTACGTTGTGTATAAAAAGAATTGAAATGATTAAAAATATAGCATTAGGTTACACTTGTGGTTTTTGACGCCATTCAAGTTGCTACTGCCGGAGGTGTATTGTTTTTAAATGTGATAATGATTTGTTTAAAAAAAAGAAAGATTTATTTTCCTGTAAAGGATTTGTGGGCAACTTCGTCATTATAGTTACATCACAAATATATTGTTCAAGTTCTTCTAGAAATGTTTCCAGGATCAGTAAATGAAAGCTCTGAAAAATTCATTTTGATATTTATCTTGCAAATAAGCCACCATAACAAAACATTTATTACAAATTTAATTTGCTTTGAAACATAACACACATATTTCAAACAATATTGACTTGGATTTTAAGTCTCATACAAACAAAGATTGCTCAAGCATAAACAAATTAGGTAAATCAAGCTTTCTCAGTTTTTCTAATTTGTTTTGTCATGTTTTTTTTTAAGGGTTATGGTACGTTCATCATTACATGTCATACATGGTATGATTCCAGTCAGTGATATTTCTTCAAGTCCTTATGGACATGAGGAAGTTGTGCAATTTTTATCTAAAGAAATCGGTCTTGAGTCACAGCTGAAGCCTATCACTCTGCCGACTGCTCCTGCTGAGCTTCTGAAAATAGATAAGGTATTATATAATAGAGCATGTCTTAGAGGGGAGGGGTTTCTAATGCTTTYCATTTCCTGTTGGTGATGGATATAAATAGAAATCTGCAGGGTCTGTCTCTTTGGTTGTATTAGTTTGCATGAATTTTGCCTACAACTATAGCTTGCCACAGGCTTAAGTCATCCTTGCAACATGGCTACAACTGTTAAACAATTGTTTTKAATCTTTGCAACATTTACACCCACATCTGTAATGACATGTAAAAATGACTTTTACAGGTTTCATGTGTTTGATGGTTGTCAGAAAAAGTTGTGCCGTCTAATTTGGCCATTTTAGTCTTCTGTATTCATACCAGGATCTCTCGATCAATACCAGGAAATGTAACACTAGAAAAGACTAATTATCTGCCTCTTTGTAAAGAGTGTGCTAGGATCTTATGGTGGAGGGGCACTCCTRTGTTGTGTATTTTTTGTGACCATTCTTGTGGTGTGCAACTCCCTTGTAAGAYCTGTACCACTTCCTTGAAGAAAATCCTTGATCTGACCATGTAGTGTGGAAGGCTTTAGGAGTAGGTGCATGGTATATAAAACCAATAGCTTACATCTTTTGCAATACAGAATGAAAGGAAAACAAAGAGTCTGACATGTTCTACTAAATATCATCTTTACTATTTTTCACAGACAAATAATGGAAGATAACTCAGACTTAGTAGCAATATTATTAGTAATTTAATTTATTATTGTTTCCTTTGATACCATTCATAGGTTTTCCTTAAAGATGAGTACAAAGTTGGTATAATCTACATGAAAGAAGACCAAACWACAGAAGAGCAGCTGTTCAATAATCAAGAACACAGCAAAGCTTTTGATGATTTCCTGGATTTGTTAGGAGACCGAGTAAGACTGAAAGGGTTTGGGAAATACCGTGGGGGCTTGGATATAGTTAATGACTTGACTGGTACACACTCTGTCCATGCTACCTATGGCTCCAAGCAAATTATGTTTCACGTGTCAACACTTCTGCCATTTGAACAGAAGGATAATCAAAAGGTAAGCAAAACTAGAGCGGATTTCGTATGAGTGGGAAACGGACGGTACTGTACTGTGACCGTAATCGTACTGTAGCCAAATTGAAGTGCCCCATTGGTTCACCAAAATTGTGCAGGCCAGGTCTGGTAACTGTGCGGTAACCGTGCGGTAACGTTGTCCCACTCATACGAAATCAGCTCTATCTACTGTTTGGATGAATTTTAAAGTGTGGTAGAATTTCAGTATATTAACCTATGCATTGGAAAAACAAGACTACAGGAATGTGAAATAAGAATGAAGCATCTTTGTAATGAAAGTATATTAGTTTACATACTAGTAGACACTTGGAAATACGAATTTTATCTTCTCAGAAGAGATCTTTTCAACACTCGACGATAAAATTCGTATCCCTCTAACCCATGTAATATCCTCCATTTCTTTTTATTTTATTCATTATTTTTCAGTTTTCTTTTATTCAATTTTCTGTGCTCTAGTTCCCACCACTTCGCAATCATTTTTCCATTTATTACATTTTGTTGGAAATAATAAAACATTCACTCTTTTACATTCAGCTGCAGAGAAAGCGACACATTGGCAATGATATTGTGTGCATCGTGTTCCTAGAGGGCACCCATACTGCATTTGACCCAGAATGCATCAAGTCCAATTTCTTACATACATTTGTAGTGGTTCAAGTTGATATTGAAACCAATCCACATTTTTATAAAGTAAGTCATTAGATAATACTGATAATACTGTATTAAAGTATTTTTGTTTCAGTTTCTTTTTGTTTCAGTTTCTTTTTGTTTCAGTTTCTTTTTGTTTCAGTTTCTTTTTCTTTCAGTTTCTTTTTCTTTCAGTTTCTTTTTCTTTCAGTTTCTTTTTCTTTCATCTATCTGTCTGTCTATCCCTCCCACGTTCTCATGGTAGCTCAATTTTCTTTTGCCTTGATTCATCTTTAGTTTTTTATATTTATTCTTTGCTTATGTCTCTGTATTTGGATGAAGGAGAATGTCTCTGTCTGTTTATGATCTCCTTGGATCCATCTGTTTAATGATTCAGTTAGTCTCATCAGGCATCATGGTTTACCCTCCCCTTACTTTGGGTTTCCTGTGTTAGTACTATAGTCCCTCACTCTGAGAGAAAATCTGACAAGGTGCATGTTGCTGTATCATTTGATTGGATGGCACTAATTCCATGATTTTAATAAATSTTTATCTAGGTATCTGTTGTTTCAAGAAATCAAGTTCCTTTGTATGGTCCTTCCCTAACTGATGAGAACACTTTTGATAAGGTGTGTGGGTATAATCACAACCAAATTTACAATACATGTGTGAATCAACCTGTAACAATCTAACATCATAAGATAATACTTTGTCCATTATTTTGTTAGGGACCTGAGTTTAGAAGATGGATATTAAGTAAAGTGATAAACGGTGAAATAGCTTCTCATAAAGCACCAAACTTTGCAAAATTACATGTAAGCTGGATTTTTTTTAATTTTTTTTGACATTTTATATCACATTTTTTTTTATTTTGGTGCAATATTTAATATGCTTGCAGCAACGGACACGTAACCAGTTGATGAATGAGTTATTAGACTCTGTAGAGAACTCATCAAGTGTYGAAAGRGAGAAAAGAGAACCAGTCCCCTTCAGGTAAACTTAGCCAGTTGATGCRCTTTCTTCAATATCMCATGAAATTATCTTGAATTTCCCATGCAATTACTGCATTTTATCTTAAGTCTTCCCTTGTCCTGAAGTCATGTCAACCATTTCCAGTCTGTTATATTGATACCCCATCTTATATGTTTCTCTAATTTTTATTTCTCATCTCATTTCCCATTTCTCATTTGTCCCATTGCTTCACTTCTCTCCAACAGCTTTACTCTCATGCTATCTTGTTAATAAACATTTATTTTTTAGGGAGCATGGCCGATGGAGTCAGTCCAGCATGAGGTATAMAAATCACAGTAAAGTTTCAATTCACTTACAAACTTTGTCTTGATAATATATCCTTTTTTAGTTCCCAGGGTAGTTCGCAACAAGACCCCTTTTCTGATAGCATCGATATTAGTTACCAGCAAGCCAAAGATTTCAGTGAAATGATGGGGAAACAAAAACATGTCGCTGATGTTCGGTTTATAGTGGGTAAGTTGTCTAAGTTGCTGTGGTAAAATGGTAGGTATCAGAGTTTGTGCGATAGTTCGTTTTTTTCCTGGCACTGCAACACAAGTCTGCGTTACATCCGGAATATTCTTCGAAATATTTTGTGAAATTTCTGGGATGCAACACAGGCTATGCAACACCTACCAAATAGAGTGTATCTTTTGCAAAGAGAGATTATGATGACGATGATGATTATGATGATAATGATGATGATGATGACAAGAWCTTCTTTTGAATGACATAYCTGTAAGGCTTTAATACCAWGTATRCTTATKGTTACAAGTAATGGCATCTATTCTGTACTTGCAGGTAAGACAGAGAAGAAAATCTTTCTCTGTGTCAAGTCGGTGATGGCAGCGAAAAGCAGGTATGTATTCTATTTATTCAGCATTATATTACTGTGCTGGTGCCCAGGCGAAAACCCAGGCACTGTGAAGATACCTGGCGAGTACAATGTCCAGASTGTACGTGKYGACTGTGTGAGCATGTGAGCGTACCTTGCGCATTGCGTCTTTTAGTACCGGTGCCCTTGTGCTAAGTGACAGTGCAAAGCTCATTTAGCGTCGTAATTTTTTCATTTTAGTTTTCATAAGTTTGAGAAAGAAACATAAAATATATCAACATAATTTAGCAAGTTTACAATAACTTTCTACACAATGATTTAAGTCGTCTTTGAAACACGTTTTTCTAGCGTATTACAAAAGTTGCTCAATGAAAGTTCACCGACKACTTTGGAACARCCGCAACAAAAAACAGTCCAGAATGGCTCGAATTCCCCCACAACTCCGCGCACTCCATCCTGGGGCATTTCAGGCTCGATTCTCTCTGGTGGATCAAGAAGCAGAAAGTTTTCCTTGAAGAAATCTTTGCGCTCCCAAAGTAGTGGAGAAGATGATGTGGTTTTGTCTTCGTATTCTGGGCTTGATCAACCGTCTCAGAAGAATGGTGCTAGACATAATAGCATCAAAGATGCTATAGCTCAAGAGGTATATAATATTATCACAACTAAAGGYCCGTTTACACTTGCGATTTTTGCAGGGTGATTCTCGYGGYGATCGTCGCGCGACCATCGCCTGAGTTTCGAACATGCTTGRAAATTGGYCGCAACAACCGTAGGGCTGTTTACACRTACGATTTGAGTTGCGCGATAGCAAAGTGGCGATAATCGCGCAGCAAAAATCGCAAGTGTAAACGGGCTKTAATACATATTTTGACAATTTGAAAAAATATGGATTACCGAGTCCGCGATCARTTATCAATCAAAGAAATTTTCTTTTTCCTAGTTTATAGTTGAAGACTTCGRGCCTGATGAATTCGACGCATTACTGATGTATCTTCATACCGGTTCTTGTCATATAACCGCAAAAGTTTTACCTGGACTTCTTTGCGCAGCATATCGCTACGACATTTCAGAGTTACAGCAAGTGTGTGAAGACAGCATTGAAGTTTGTTTAGATGAAACTACGGTAAAAACCTCAACTTATCGCGCCTCGTCAGCTTTTCTTATTTTTTAAGACTTGTTTTTTTGTTGCTGGACAAGTTGTCCGCGATCACACAAGGTATAAAACGAAAACAACTAACATCACCCAAAAATTGTTCAAAATTGTAGAACTATTTTGAAACGAAAGGTCGATCTTTCTCTTCTTAGGTTTATACGTTCTTGCATTCAATGGAACAGTGTCCAGGATACCCTGAAGTACAGCAAATGCTGCAAAATAAGGTTATCATCTATAAGTATCTATATTTAGCTTAGTTTAACAATCAGCTAATATTATACATACGTTTTCATACAATCTTACATAATTGGATTAAACACTCTTGACGTTGACGTTGGGGTCCTTACAGTTACTCTAGAGCCGTTCTAAGTAGTCATTGTATAAAAATTAAGCGTTTTCCGAGATGTATCCATTTGATTCAATCCGTCTATCTTGTATGAGAAATGAGAACATAATTTTATGTTTCCATTTTATTTTTAGATTGATGTTTATCTTCAAGAGAATTCCCTACATKCACTAGATGAAAAAGCTGCTAGTTTGCTTTCGGAGAAAAGTTTGAAGCTAATTTTATCAAGGGTGGAAAAGGTTGAAGATATTTTTCATAATGTTMACTCAAGGAACAATGCATTCAAATCTAATTCAATATTGCAATTGATTTTATGTTTTTACTGTGGTTTAATGGCATTCTTTTTCTTCAAGGAATACGAGATTTCTAAATTCAATGCTATCATTGAATGGGCAAAAGGACAAAGTATTAAAATGGGTATGTTTAGAACTGTGGCRTTCATGTTGATTTGCAGGCTTTCTTGCTCCAAAATAAACCATTARTTAATGTACAAGTGGATGAATGCACAAAATTTGTAAATGAATGGATAAATGAAATGGTGAAAGACTAATTGAATGAAATGGATAAATTTTACCCTAGATTGTTGTGTGAGCATTGAAGAACTTGCAAAACCACTACTATCAAACTTYGTGGATTTGACTAATATTTCCCCAGATGACTTAATGGAGGTAGGTCTCTCTCATTTCTACATGCATGCATTACTAATTGGTAATAATTATAGCACATTCACAGTAACATTAGTCTCCTTGCAGCTGTGCTTCATTTTGGTCACAGCTGCAAGGAGACTACAATAACATAACCATAAGGTTGATTTCAAATATGAATGACTGCCCGTGATCAAAACCTAGTGAAGKTCTGTGATTAGCCTGCGTAGCAGCCCTAAGGGGATTGGTGAGGGCCGGCCGCTACGCAGGCTACCTGTGATGGGGAGTCAAAACAGAGGTCATTGATAGTGTCAGATCAACTGGTGTTAAAGTTCATTTGGTAAATTTTGTAAAACACTGATGAATCAAGCATCAGTTTTGTATTTGTTTATGCAACTAAGGCCAATCACATACAACAATAGACAACCCTGGTTGGACTAAAAGCTCATTAATTATTCATGAGTGATTAAAAAATGGTGATATACCACATTGTGAATATTATAAAACAATGATGAATAAAAGATCAGTWTTGTGCTTAGCCAGTCACTTGACATTAAAAATAATCCCTGATTCGACCAATAACTTAGAAATTATTAATATGTTTTCAATATTAATAAACATCGATGATTTTTTTTTAGATTGTATATCCAAGTGGTCTCGTGTCCAATGATCAACTTATGGTTATTATGGCTGTAAAAGCTGATCATAGCAAATCTTAATCATATAYTGCTCCAACACAAAGAATATGTTCTAGTTTTTGTACAAAATCCAAATATTTATATATATTAGGTATTAAATATTTCCTAAATGAAGTTATTATTTCAAACAAATTTATATAATTTATATCAAATATCTTTTTGTTAAATTTTTCAACACAATTTGAATTTCTTTTTCCAAAAGATTAAAACAAAAACAAGCTAAAAAGAATTACACTTATACCTAGAAGTTTTTCAAGCTCTTATTTTATAACTACTATATTAATGTATATTTTGCTGCGACAATCATTTGTTCACATAAGGTTTATTATAAATATTTATTGATTATTTACGAAGTTAATATGTATGAAGCATTGTTCGATGTTTGAGACCGATTTACTTGGAGAAAAATTAAGGAAAACATATTGTGGATCACATTTTTTGAAAATATAGCTAACATTGCATGCATAGCATTGTTATATACTCTAAATACTGTATTGTAACCAGTGCTGTCAAGATCTAGATCTATGGGGCTGGGATCTAGAAAGTTATCAGGGGGTAGCCAATGAAGAGAAGAAATGGCAGAATCTAGCCTGCATAGCAGCTCTAGGTGAGGGGAGGTCTGGGGAAAAGGGAAAAAAAGAAAGAAAAGCCAGGGKTTTTTTTACCTCCCCTTCGGTTTTCCCTTTCCCTCCTTCCCCTACGCAGGCTGAGCAGAATCAGAATAGTATTATAAACGTATTTTGTCTAGTGATCATATCACAATTGCTACCATGCATCTGGTAAACCAGTGGACCCCTCCCCCCCCTGATTTTGATTACTCAATGACATGCAACTGTAATTGCAGGCTTATTGATAAATATGAATATCTGTTTTCTTGTAACAATTCAATTTATTTTGAAACCCAAGAAAAATCTAGCACTAGTATTAGTAATAGTTTTGTTATTGTTATTCTGRAGTAAATAAATAAATTACATTCACAATTCTTGAGATTGTTTTCTTTTAAGTGATATAAATAATCCATCAATAATATTGACAACTTCATTACCATTTGCTGTAACTCTGAGTTGTGTGCTTATGCACTCCTCAGTATTTTAATGAWAAACATCCCTACAAACTAGACATATGTAGATATAATAGGCTAAGTGCTATATTACAAATTTTTATATAATAGGCAGAAAGGAAAATTTCTTTATTATTTCCTTTCTGYCTACTGTATATAGTATAACAATCACCTATTCTAATATAGTGCTTAGCCAATGGTCTACACACATATTTAGTTTATAGGGATGTCTTTCATAAATGCTGTCTAAGTGGATAAGMATGAAACTCAGAGTCACAATCTTGACTCTTCTTTTCATTTACTTAGCTCTTCGCTGTGTGTATTGAGCACTGTTTAATGGCATTAGCTACTTTCTCATATGATTTAAATCTATGTTCATATCRGGGTTCGCGCTACTCCTTGAAATCCTTGAAAACTCCTGGAATTGAAAACTCGTTTTCAAGGGCGCTTGAAAAGCCGTTGAAAATGGGAAAAATCGCTAAAACTCCTGGAAAACTCCTTGCATCTGATGAAATTAACATATTGCCTTTTGAATTGAAATGTGGCTATTTTTGAAAATTGCCACTGGAAACATTTGCAAACATCAAGAAATATCTTCAACAATAGTCCTTGAAAATCGCATTTTTGTGCTTAAAAAGTACTTGAAAAGTCCTGGAATTTTGTAGTGAAAATTTTGGACGAACACTCTCATATACTACCCTGCCCTAAGGGGTACTGATCTAACCACTACCACTTTTGACTATAAGCCRTTAACTATCTGTAAACAGCCACTCTGATACTAAAGTTTCTGCTGAACAGATGAAACAGTCTAAAAGGTAAGCCATGTTGCATATATTATAATAGAAGAAATAACTTTTTTAGATAAAAGTTAAAACTGTAGTGGTTAAACGAGAAAAGAAATAATTGAAAGAATATTCACTAGATGGCTTTACTGAAACAATCTCAGCCAGTAATCTTCTTTGCAACAATTCTCACTAACCATATACTAACAGCCATGTGTTTGGCTTGGTACAGAAAGCTAGTAACAACAGTTGTGAGTTTAACCCAGAGGAACTAAAATTTCACCATTATTATTAGTAAATTATATTGTGTTGCAGTGTATAAACCTCAAGGAATTCCAAATTGTCTTTTACAGCATTTAGATGGTGGTGCACTCCAGTCATATTCAAACGATTTGTGAACTTCTTCTTCTTCCTCACACAGTTTGTGGGTCTTCTCTAGACTGTCAAACTTTGAGAACATGTCATATGTACTTTGTTTGTGGCTGACAATATGAAAGTTGTTACAGCCACGTGAACGATATTCTGTGTCAAATCTGGTGTCATGCTTGCGAYGTAATTTTAAGGGTGCTAGCCAGGCCCCTAGACAAAAAAAGTTATTGAATCATATTAGAATATGCATCAATCTAGTTAGTAGTTTATTGTTTTATATGGTAGAGCTGACCTCAGATGCAATACTAAAGGCTGATTTATACGGTACAACTTTTGCCTACAACTATYGCATGCAACCTGCGTAAGTTATCATTATCACATGGTTACAACTGAGATTAAAAACAATCGTTTGATAACCCTACGACAGTTGTAGCCATGTCGTAAGGATGACTTAAGCAGGTTGCATGCGATAGTTGTAGGCACATTTTGCACTGTCTAAATTGGCCTTAAGAGAAACAGCTCTCAGTCATGCATTTTGCATTGTTTTACGGTCAAATACATACCTACAGATACATCCTCACTATTGTATAACTCAAGTAAATCCCAATTTCTTGCAATAAAGTTGACAAGTTTAGCAGATAATACATAACCTCCACCATTAGCATAAGGTAAATAATGATCGCACAAAACCCATTTACTCTCAGCCCACTTTCCTTTACGTTTGACATTAGCATTTCCCCTAAAGAATCCCCAGTAGAGATTACTAGGTTTGGACTTTTCATGTTGTTTTAGTTCAGATACAACCATATCTATCCTAACAAATGAGTCATCATCAGCTTTCAGCACATAGGAACTATCAATGTTCTTATCTATCCATYTAAAGCCTTGAAGGACTTTATTAGATAACTCGTAGTAACCATCTTTTAGATGTGAGAAAATTACGATGTCTTTGTAAATCTTATTCTCACTTTCAAGAAGGTCTGTTTCAGATTTTGTCAGAGATTTCCCTCCAATAATAAACTTTGCTATRAAATTTGACTTWACATTTTTCAGCCATGTACTTCGTAYGGMATCTCTCCTTTCTGTTCCCTTGGGAGACGTTAAGATCATAATAAAGAGAAATGTGCTYTTCTTTGAAACGCTGCTTGCTTTCTCAAAATCTTCTTGCTTTGCCTTTGGTGYTCTCTGTAAATCAWTGCCATTTTCATCTGGRTAAATTGMTTGTTTTCTGTCGGCYCTGCCAGAATTCCCAGCAAAAAATACAATAATAAAAACGATAATTACAAATATTAAAAATAGACCTCTKAGAGGATGTAAAAATAAATTTTTGAATACGAATCTTCTACAAGAAGTCATTCTGATCTGAATCACCAACTAAACTCTCGGTCAAGTGGCCTGGGAATAAAATAACAAAATTGTTTGAAATATGTAAACAACTTGAAACTAATGCATTATTTAGAATATTTTTGGTCAGTTAAGTAAAACATTGAAAGATTTTTTTCTCGCTAGTAAAGCAATTACAATGGATTGATGTAAACAAAAAGATAAATGCAAAATGTCACCGCGGGCTTCCTGTGAATAAACAAACAGGAAACCCAACAGTTCATTTTCATAAAGCTCTCTTGATTGCTGTACCTCGTACCTCGCTAAATCGTAAAGAATACATATTTTTTACTTGTGAAGCAAAATAAATTTATTATCTCACTTTTGTTACACAACAACTACACTTTAGACGACTGTGGGAAAAACGCAAACTAACTTAATTGGGTTTCCTGTGTTCATTCTACACGTGCRAAAACATGGCGTACATGCATGTCTGAGATTCAGTGTTTATTAGAAGTTAATTTTGTCCTTTCAGTGTGAAAGAAGTGTTTATATTCAAACTTAGCAATTGAAGATGAATCGTTTACCTCTTCCAAACTGGAATTGTACYCCAAACATCAATCCCACAGGCAATTTCTCTGCGATCTTGAACGTTGGTTATGGAGGCTTGCCATTCACTGGCCAACATTATCGGTCTCATCCACCACAGATGTTTGTCCCAAGGCCGCCAGTTCACACAAATTTACAAGAATCAACCTCTCGGGTAAACGGGAATAATGTAAGCTTTAGCATTATTTTTTTAACACTATCTGAGCTCGTAAACAGCTCACTGCGACTTGCCTGCATTTTGATTGGCTATATTACAAGGATCTATTTCTCATATCCCTAGAGCAGCAAATGTCAGAGCAAACTTTGAAAGCCAAAACAATGGCTTCTCCTAACTTTGTTGCTTTATATCTATATTTTTGTACAAGTAACTATAATTACTTTATGAAAATACAAAACAACCTACWAAAACAGTAACGATACCTGTCCTGTGTATTTACTTACAGAAGCTCAAGAAGAAACTTCAAGTGTTGCCACCYAAAGTGGTTGATCATTTTGAATATATTAACTAAAACTTTAAAAACATTATAACATGTGGCATGCTTTTTTCAGTTTTTAAAACCATTCATTTCTTTCACAGGCTCATGAACCCAGCAAAATGTCTCAATGCCAAGCATTGCCATCAAAGCAAGAAGACTTTTCCTGTGATGTTTGTGAAAGATCCTTCAAAACAAAACAGATTCTTGAYACACACCTTAAATCACATGTCAAGGTAATAATTTTTCTCTTTGAGGATTTTAGATTTTGTAGCAAAACAAGCCTGGGTAACTACCTGAAAAGAAGGCCTATATGAACATTATCAGACCACTTTTTTATATCGTTATCTAAAGAAGATGCCTAAGGTTACAATGATGATTATCTGGTTTACATTTGAACCCAGTTATGTGGACATGAAGACCATCCATGAACTGGCATTGTAGACCAGGATTTGAAACTGRGTCAATTAAATTAAATAACACTTTGATTTTAGTGTGATTATGAAAACTGCTCATTTTTTGCATCAAGAAAGATGTTAAAACTGCACTTCATTCAGGTAAGAAGAGATTACTTTGAAGAGCAAAGTAAAGGCATGATGCTCAGATTTGGTACTTGTGCTGTGTTGTATCTCATGCATTGATAATAGAATGCCTGAAAATTAATGTATCCACTGGGTCCATCCCTGAAATACCCACAACATAAATCTACCATCAACATCTTGCAAAGTGCAGTTAAAATATACACACRTAATTCTACATGTTTCAGAATCATGCAAAAGGGAGAATGAGAATTAAGTTGGATTCTCCTGAAGAAATTGAAAAATGGAGGGAACAAAGACGGAAGTATGTTGCAGTAGAAACATTGTTTATGTAGTGTGCTTAATTTAATTTATAGAATGCAAATATAGTACTTTATACATTGATATTATACATAAATATTTTCCTTTATGACTTTAGGAGGTATCCAACATTTGCCAACATACAGAAGAAAATAGAAGAAGAAAAAGCGCGTCGTGAAAATGGGCAAATAGCAGAAACGCAAACTTTTAGGTAGAAATTATAAGCATGTATACATGTATTTTTGGCCACCATAAATTCCAGAGTATACAGAGTATATAAAATCTTGTTTKTCTTTCACAGTGTACATTTTATTAATTTTATCTGATGAAGTTGTCTCAATGACAAAAAATAACGTTGTGTTCTAATATTGTTGTTTGCCTTCCTAATATGGGAGAATGAAAGATATGCAAAGGGAGTCTTCAAATGTTAAATATCTCGTTATTTTTTCATCAGATATCAAGGTAAAAAACAAAGAAATAATAGACGTTTTAACAGGCAAAAGCATTCAAAATTCCAAAAACCAGCAAGACAAGAAGCACAATTTAACAATAGTAACAGTGAAGTTAACCAATGTGATGTGGAGAAAAAAGAGACAAAAMAACCAGTTGGGGATCCTTTGTCGTTACTCCTTGCTAACTCAAATGTTGAAAGTGAGTAGGTCCTATCACAAACTTTTCTGATAATAGAGCTTTAGTTGATGCTCAATAGACCACTTTCACAAGTGCCTACTATYGATTTTATATGATTGGCAATATTAAGGAAACATTCAGCACTGGCATATTGAAGAACTATCAGAAATAAGTAATTGTGCAAAATTTTGAAGATATAGACTAAATACTAACGAAGTTATGAAGGAATGAAAATACAAGGATTTGTATGAAATTCTATACTGAGGCCTTGGTGGCCTCGTTTTGGTGTTTTTGTGCATCTTCCAACCCTTATAACTTCCAGAGGAYTKAATATTTTTCTTTGAAACTTTCAGAGCTTATCTTTAGCTTTGATATCTATCATCTGAGTGTTTTCTTTTGTCAACATTATGAATTTAACAATAATATAATAATTAGTGTCGGCCAYTGTGAAAGTCGTGTATAGTTTCATTAAAAGATCCAACTGATTGGTGCTGTTGATGACGGGTATCGTGATATTGTTATTTTGTTAATCTTTAGGTGACAGTGAGGAAAAACTACCACATAACACAACTCMACAAAAATCTGCTTCAGTTTCTACATCAGCACTTGCATCTCTTTGTAGTTATGGAGGTGATTCCTCTAGTGATGAGAGTGAYGCAGATGAAGGTGAGTCCACAGAAAAATCAAAATCCTGAATATTTTGAAAATCGTCATTGTCAATTTTGATTGGTTGGTTGGAGAGTTGATTGATGGATCAGTGGATGGAATGGTTGGCAGCTTGTTTATCTACCACTGTCTACCTTTTTGTATTTGTCTTTTGAATTATTTAATAAATAACATTCAATTAACCACAACTTACAGAAATAAATAATAACAACAAAGTCAGCACTCCTATCCAAAGTGTTAAATCAGCTGAARGTAGGCCAGAAAACACAGAACTTTCGTCAACACCACAGAAAGTCTCAAGGAAAAGAAAACAAGATTTTAGAAAGGTAACATTTTCGTCATTCTACTGATTCCACTATAGCTATTGATTTGAACACTTTCCATACTTTCCACTTTCCATAACTGTACTGCCTGGACAGGCGCTTGAACAAATGTTTCGCCTTGTGTAGCCAGTGTAGAAAGACAGTAAGGCACTCTCAGGTTCTCAGTAGAGGTCAAAGTTCCCTACTTAAATGACAACAACAACAACAACAACAACAATTTATTTAAATATGGAGGTGAAACCAGGACAATTTATTTGATTAGATAGTTTACATAATACAGAATCTATTCATATTTCAGAATAAGGGGGCAAAATCAAGAAAAGTCACCCTCTTGGAAAAGGTAAGGCTCACTCCAACTTCAGTGTTTTTAGTGTCATAAAAATAGATCTCACGTTTTTTGTTTCCTTTTCTAGCTGTTAGCACCAGAGATYAGACATGAAAACAACGCCATTCTACAGTGCATTCGCTATATAGTCAAGAACAATTACTTTGATAATAAATAGTGCCTTACTGGTAATAACAAATACACTAATATACTTAGAACTTTAAAGCGAAATCTAAAATAGATAATTATGGTGTTCAAACCTTGTTAAAATTCATCGTCTTGTCTCATGGTAGCTATATAACTTTCTGAGGATTCAAGGGAGACGCCTTCATGGGAAACGCTCATGTGAGGCATATGTCTACTTCAGAAGAGCACCACTTTTTTAACAGTATTTGGATTTCTTGAGGGGCAAGCCCCTAAATGAGTGTTTCGTTGTTTCTGCTTTTAATGGGATTGTCATGCTCAATGTAATACCAGGTTTGTCTTGTATGCCCCTCATGTTCTCATGGACACTCCGTATTTCTTGCCTTGTAAATAGAAATTGNTTATCTTTAGCTTTGATATCTATCATCTGAGTGTTTTCTTTTGTCAACATTATGAATTTAACAATAATATAATAATTAGTGTCGGCCACTGTGAAAGTCGTGTATAGTTTCATTAAAAGATCCAGGTGATGGGTGCTGTTGATGACTGGTATCATGATATTGTTATTTTGTTAATCTTTAGGTGACAGTGAGGAAAAACTACCACATAACACAACTCCACAAAAATCTGCTTCAGTTTCTACATCAGCACTTGCATCTCTTTGTAGTTATGGAGGTGATTCCTCTAGTGATGAGAGTGATGCAGATGAAGGTGAGTCCACAAAAAATCAAAATCCTGAATATTTTGAAAATCTTCATTGTCAATTTTGATTGGTTGGTTGGAGAATTGATTGATGGATCAGTGGGTGGAATGGTTGGCAGCTTGTTTATCTACCACTGTCTACCTTTTTGTATTTGTCTTTTGAATTATTTTATCAATAACATTCAATTAACCACAACTTACAGAAATAAATAATAACAACAAAGTCAGCACTCCTATCCAAAGTGTTAAATCAGCTGAARGTAGGCCAGAAAACACAGAACTTTCGTCAACACCACAGAAAGTCTCAAGGAAAAGAAAACAAGATTTTAGAAAGGTAACATTTTCGTCATTCTACTGATTCCACTATAGCTATTGATTTGAACACTTTCCATACTTTCCACTTTCCATAACTGTACTGCCTGGACAGGCGCTTGAACAAATGTTTCGCCTTGTGTAGCCAGTGTAGAAAGACAGTAAGGCACTCTCAGGTTCTCAGTAGAGGTCAAAGTTCCCTACTTAAATGACAACAACAACAACAACAACAACAATTTATTTAAATATGGAGGTGAAACCAGGACAATTTATTTGATTAGATAGTTTACATAATACAGAATCTATTCATATTTCAGAATAAGGGGGCAAAATCAAGAAAAGTCACCCTCTTGGAAAAGGTAAGGCTCACTCCAACTTCAGTGTTTTTAGTGTCATAAAAATAGATCTCACGTTTTTTGTTTCCTTTTCTAGCTGTTAGCACCAGAGATCAGACATGAAAACAACGCCATTCTACAGTGCATTCGCTATATAGTCAAGAACAATTACTTTGATAATAAATAGTGCCTTACTGGTAATAACAAATACACTAATATACTTAGAACTTTAAAGCGAAATCTAAAATAGATAATTATGGTGAGCAAACCTGGTTAAAATTCATCGTCCTGTCTCATGGTAGCTATATAACTTTCCGAGGATTCAAGGGAGACGCCTTCATGGGAAACGCTCATGTGAGGCATATGTCTACTTCAGAAGAACACCACTTTTTTAACAGTATTTGGATTTCTTGAGGGGCAAGCCCCTAAATGAGTGTTTCGTTGTTTCTGCTTTTAATGGAATGGTTAAGAAGTGTAATGGGATTGTCATGCTCAATGTAATACCAGGTTTGTCCTTGTATGCCCCTCATGTTCTCATGGACACTCCGTATTTCTTGCCTTGTAAATAGAAATTGGAGACGATTTTTATGTAGTGTTTAAAAAACGAGCAGGAGTGCTTTATCGGGAGATATNTCGGAAGATGACAGGTCTAAAAGCCGTATTTCCGAACCCCCGGCATCAAACAAGGTGACCCTTGGCAGCAAAATATTTCGATGGCTCTGTTTACATTTATGTGCGATAGTCGTATGTTCAACATTGTGTTTAGCAAAGCATACACCAGTAATTCTCATTTCTTTGGACGGCATGGGATGGCAGTTTACCGGTGGACAATATGCTAATACACCCAATCTTGACTTCATAGCCAAGACTGGAGTCCAAGCAAAGTACATGGAGACGGTAACGCCTACTAAAACGTGGCCAAATCACCAAACCTACGTCACTGGACTGTACMCTGAGAGCCACGGCATTGTAAGCAACGTCTTCTGGGACCCAGAACTGAAAGCTAAGTTCATTTATGATTATGACTGCAGCAAYTACGATCATAAGTTCTGGGGCGAAGCGGAACCGTTATGGCTGACTCTGCAAAAACAAGGCATTAATACCGCAGTGTATTTCTGGCCAGGATTTTACTTACGGTACACATGGATGGCCTGCAGGAAAACAAATGGGATCGATTTTCTACGCACGTGGTCCATCGTTCAAGAAAGGCTACAAACTGGATCACGGTTTACGATCCATTGATGTATACCCAATGTTATGTGACATCCTTGGTATTGAACCACGCCCAAATAATGGGTCCCTGTCTAACATGAAGATGATGATGATGGGAAATGATAAACCGACACCTATATCCACCGCCACCATGTTTGTGAATTGCCAAGGCTCGTTACTGATGGCATTCATTTGCATTTYTTTTACTGATTTAAATTTCCTCAGTTTTGCGTAACCACAAGACGAAGATACAGAGAATACCGTGATCRCGTGATTAGTTTTGAAGTCCGCAGTAWAGGTGAMGCGATGTTAAAGAGAGATTTTTTCGCAAGCGTTACAGAAACAGTTGTCGGATGGACGTACAGTATATCAAAAAGATGAATTGCAACTTTCAAGGGACTTTAATATTATTTCATGTAACCAAGGAAGCTTTAATAAGATCACATATACAAGCTTTATTCTGTAGAACATCAGCATAACCATTTAGCTTGGGCTGCCTGTGTTTTGGCGCGATTAGCTTGCCAGGGATATGTATTTCAAACGACACCTTTCGCAGTTGATGTTTTTTATCTATATAAGTATTTGGCACAAGGAAGTTCTTGATTTCATTTCAGGGCGCATAAGTCACGAAGCTTTCACATCTGCACTGACATTTAATGCGTTAAAGTGTATTTGGAAAAGAAACAATAAAAAAGATTAAAAGTCACTGCAGTTGACAGTATWCACAATAAGCATAAGTTAAATGTTTGTTTAGAGCTCTGATTGGATTGGTTAAGACATGTAATGGGATATTCATATTTATTTTGCAACAATAACAGCGTAAAACAAGGTTACATTGTTTGGTGACCCTTCGCATTCTTTGGTGATTGAAGCGRTGAGACGCGAACATAATCTTTGTTTCTTTAACAACATGTTTCGTGGCAGATCTATCTTTTTGCGTTTCTGCACCATTGTAGTTTGTTCTGCAACATGTCTCGCTGATTACACACCAGTAATTCTCGTCTCSATGGACGGCATGGGATGGCAGTTTCCTGGTGGACAATATGCTAATACACCCAATCTTGACTTCATAGCCAAGACTGGAGTCCAAGCAAAGTACATGGAGACGGTAACGCCTACTAAAACGTGGCCAAATCACCAAACCTACGTCACTGGACTGTATCCTGAGAGCCATGGGATGGTAAGCAATGTCTTCTGGGACCCAGAACTGAAAGCTAAGTTCATCTTTGAATACGACTGTAGCAACTTCGATCCTAAGTTCTGGGGCGAAGCAGAACCGTTATGGCTGACCCTGCAAAAACAWGGCATCGATACAGCAGTGTATTTCTGGCCAGGATTTTCCAGCTATAACGTCAAGCCAACTTACTACAAGAAGCCCATTTGTAGAGTGAACTGCCGTAACATCCAAGACTTACCAGCGTCACGCAAGCCAGTACGTGACACTTTCCCGCCGTATGATCATTGCTTTCCTAATTACTCGATCCCTTTTCCAACTCGCATGGATTCAATTGTCAACTGGCTCACTTCAGATAAACCACCTCGTTTTGTTGCCATCTACGTTGATCAGCCTGACTGGGTTGGCCATTCTGATGGATGGAAATCTCAAAAATTCAAAGAGGAAATCGAGAAAGTCGATCGTGACGCCGTTGGGTATTTGATTACAAAACTTAATAGCACTAATCTTCTTGACAAAGTGAACTTAGTGTTTGTTGCCGACCATAGTTTTGTAGATGTTAACGCAAGTAGAGTATTATTTCTGGAGGACTTTTTGGACTTGTCATCGTGTATGGTGACGGAAGCATCAGCATTTGTTCACGTGTGGCCCAACGAAGGAAAGTTTGATGAGGTGTTTGCTAATCTCACCAAACTAGTGAAACATCTTCCTCTGGGAAAACTATACAAGAAAGAAAACACCCCKATGGAATGGCACTACMGAAACAATCGTCGCATCCCACCAATCTACTTGGATGCAGGACTTGGCTGGCTTGTCGAAAAAAAACGTAGTAATTACTCTGACAATTGGATCTACGGCACACACGGATGGCCTGCAGGAGAACGAATGGGATCGATTTTCTACGCACGCGGTCCGTCGTTCAAGAAAGGCTACAAAGTGGATCACGGTCTACGATCTATCGATGTATACCCAATGTTATGTGACATTCTTGGCATTGAACCACGCCCAAATAATGGGTCCCTGTCTAACATGAAGATGATGATGATGGGATATGATAAACC